CGCCCCAAATTTCAAGTGATTTGGATTTGTAGAAAAAAAATTAAAATTAAAATACGAAATGAAATCGTGAAGGTCAAATCCGCCCAGATTCAATCTAGGCCGTGGACGTTTACTGTAGCAGTCAGCCTATGGGCTGACAGGATCTTTTCCCAAGATTACCGGTCCTTATATTTCTATTTAGGGAAAAAATTATCAAAAGCACCCAAGAGATGAACAATTTAACAACTCAACCATTTGTTTTTTTTTCCCGGCAAAGGGTAGGTAATCACGAATTAAAATAATTGGATTTTCTAGATGTACTTTGATAAATGGGTAAAATGTCATATAGTTGATATGTTACGTGCTTTTTTGCATCAATTTGCCTTCCTATTAATGGCTACAAATAAGTAACATGGCAGCTCCATATGCAAATTAATGTATGCAAAAGACACATTAGTATGAATCCAGAGTGCACAATATTGATGTCGGAAAGAAGCTGTAGACTAACTCTTTCAATTTGTGATGCCATCAATTCTGATTTCTTCTCCATGTCAGAGGCTCGATACTCTAAACTCTGAAGATCAGCTTTGCTCTTTTGAATCACAATCTTGAGGATTCCCACCTAAGCATTCCAGTCAAAGTTGATACTCGATTAGTGCTTCTCATAAGAAAACCTACAAAGACGTACATATAACATGAAAGGTGAAGCATTTCGATGAATGTGAAGTAAATAGTCATATGGCGAAAATTTCTAAACTGACCTCTGTTTCCAGTCCACTAACTCTTTCCTCTAAATTTGATAAGTCTGCCCGAACATGCTACAATATTGCGTTCAAAAGCATAGTGGGTCAAGCGGAAAAAAATGGATCAGATAAAAAAAAACTAACCATGGCATAGGAAACTGGAAAATCCTTATCAGTGTATATATTCTCAATTAATACAGTGAAAGAAATAAACCTTTAAATCATCCAAAGATTTTTGTAGGAACAAGATATCATTTGTCTTCTCCTCTATAATCTTCAGAGTGTTTGCAATATATGCGTCTTTAGTGTTCAGCTCATTTGTTTTCTCCTGAAGGACAAATTCTGTATCCAAAATCTAAAAACAGAATTATATATCAAAAAATACAAATTGACACAATGAGTTCATTCTGTGAAGGTTTAACCACATAGCCGCATCAAAATACATGAATTTTTAGCATTAAAACTAGAATTATACCGGCTTCAGTCAAATCATAATTAAGATAGTACGTAGAGCGCAAAACTGTGGATTAAATTGCGTCTAGTTACAATGCCAATAATGTAATCTGGTTTCATTTTTAGCTCAGATTTGAGAACAGGTCTAGTTACATTTCAAGAAATCCACAAAGGAAATTGTTTGCTAGATGTTATAAAGAAACCAGATATTTCAGATCTGGAAGATTAGAAGAATCTGATAGAAGAATAAATAGATACATTAGAAGATGTAAGGTGTTCTGATATTATTTTTGTTAAGTGAGATTGAATTGACCTAAAAATTCAGCCTTTGTTTTGAGCTCCTCCAATTCGGAAGAGACAGAAGAGGCATTATACGATCGGTTTTCAAGAGTTTCATGGCCACAACCAAGCATTGATGAACGTACTGCGATCAGGATGAAACCAGTGATCCATTTGAAGCTCATGGCCACTGATGAATCTGCCATTAAAGCTGTGAATGAAGATAGCCAAGAATTTACATCGAAAAGCTCACTCCAAATGGTGGTGTGTAAAGAGAACGCAGCAGTAACCCCTGAATTCTGAACCCTAGAAATGAAGCGGGATAACGGTAAACCCTAAACCCTGAAATCATGAATTCAAGTATATTGCAGAAGCAATGCAGCACAGTGGGTCCCGAAATTGAGGCCACGCACCTTTCAACAGACTTGTACCGTGTTATTGAAGTACCGTAATGTCTTCAAATTTTTTTTAAAAAAGAAACGGTATGGACGAGAAGTTGGGGTTTTTTTCCAAAACTAAAATATATTTATGAGAATTTCCCAAAAGTTTATATTAAGGTGTCAAATTTATGTTTATAAATAAGGTGGATCTCAAAATTCCACCCGAAAGTACTGTTCCGATATTAAAAAATCCTACAATCTTTTCATTGGGAAAAAAAATGAATTTTAAGTACTAAATATAATACATCTTCTAGCATATTATCTAGACAAATCATTATCAACTATTTGGAACCGACAACATGAGCCATGTTTCATCATTATGCTCTATCAAAAATGCCATCAATCGGACTAAAAAACATCATATCTTATCCCACTACTTCCAGCCATATCTTTTGACAATCTTCCCTTTATCTTTTTAAGAGCTTTCCGCTTGAACTATATCACCCTCTTAACTGGTATTGCTCTAGATTGACATTGCACATATCTAGACCACTTGATTCCATTTTCCCTCATCTTATCTTATTGAAGCTAAGCCCAAGACTTCATGAGTAATAAAAATGATAATGTTCAACCAGCGGGCTCTTATAGACATGAGACTTCGTGATAAAGGAAATTATACTCCTCATATCCATGTACTAGGGCTGCGTATAATCTTCTGATTGTACCAATGTCTTAATATCAAACATTTGATGGGTGAGGTCTGTACAAGGTGCCCACCTTATACTGTAGGAATAAAGTGCACTTATAAATTTTGCTAGAGGATGGAGTTCCGGTGTAGGAAACTTTGCGATGGCTTAAAATCCATGTTCAACCTTAATTATCAAAATTCAAGAAGGGTGTAGATCGAGTAGATTTATAAATACATGGAAATTTTGAAAATGGACAGTTCAGATAACTTGTCACAAAATGTATCATTTTTAGGATTTGAATTATTATTATTTATATCCATAGATCAATTATTGAAAGGTTTTTCAACTTTAGATCCTCCTTTTTTTAATTGAATTTTTGAGGTGCACCTTGCTTCTATATTATAAAATTGCAACATTCTATATAAATTGTTTGTATATTTGACATATACCAAAGGCAGATATGCACTTTCAGCCAATACATTTGGGACCCCATCAAGTGGCCTATAAATGAGATCAAACTCTGGGAATCTCAATCATATGGCATTCGAAGCGCATCACCCAAGTTTGGTGACGGTAGGATATGGTCTTATACCCCTTTGTGAATCACCATTTGCCCAGAGGTCCTGGCGACCGGTCAATGTGAAACCCTATGAAATGATACTTGGAATGGGGCAAAGAATTGCATATATTCATTTTAAGGCATGAAAAAGTTTATATAAGGTTGCAATTTTAAAACGTAGAATTAAAGGTACATTTCTAAAATTTATCATAAGTAGTTGTTTGGATGTCGGGAAATCCTCTAATTAATCATCTTGACATCGAGATATATGAATGTGAAAAGACAAAAAAAATTTAGTCTGCGAAATAGTGTATTTTGCAACTCATTATCTGGACCGTTCATTTTCAAGATTTTCATGTGTTTATAGATTTACTTGATTTGAATTACATTTAGAGTTTAAAATTTTATAGTTACAGATGAAAATTGATTCTCAAGCCATCCTAAGAATTTTTTATATCAAATTTACATTTATGATAAAATTTAGAGGTGCTCTTTAATTGGATTGTTTAAGGTTGAAGGGAAAAGTTTATATAAAGCCGAGGCTCTAAACAATCAAATTAAAGCCTACCTCAAAACTTTCATTAGGAGAGGTTGTTTTGATGCTCAAATATCCTCAAATTGATCATCTCGACATCAAGATACATGAACATGAGAAAAAAAATAGATTTCAAGTTTTGGAAACAATGTATTTTGTAATGCATATTTCGACCGTCAATTTTCAAGATTTTCAAGTTTTCATAGATCTATCGCTCTATACTATTTTTTAAGCTTTAAATCTGATAAATAAAGATAAAAATATATTTTAAGGCTATCACAAAGATTTCTAGTATTGAAGCAACATTTCTTGATACTATTTGAAAGGTAGGCTCTAATTTGATTGTTTAGAGCCTAGGCTCTATACAAACCGCACCCATATGCAAAACCACACCCTTATCTGACTGTCATCCAAGTTTTGCAAAGTTTGGGTGCCTTTTGATGCACCTTCAGAACTACCATATGCCAGGTACGCCTACATGGCTTAATCCAAGGTATTATAAGCCTACTTCCAAAACTTCAGATCATTTGGAGATGGTTTGACCCCTTGTACATTTTGGGAGGCAACCAAGGTTTATATTCAAGCTGTTGTTCATCATATAGGATGACCTCCGCTCAGCAAATAAGGGGTTTTCTCATGAAAATTTGAAAGAATGTTCCTCATTCAATCCTCTGTCAACCATGAGAAGGTTGTTCCTCATGGATGTGACATGTGACAGCAGTTTGATCCGTAATAGAGCTCGTTCTTGTTGTGTGGCAAAACCCCGTTAGTGGATATCCAAAGAGCAGTTTCAAAGAAACTTCCATTTCTCCCCACTCTCGTGACCATAATATCCTTGAATCTTTAAAGCCAAAGCAAATTCCAGCTGAACTCTTTTGCCAAATTCGGCAAGAGCAACTTTTTACTATTACACACCCCATCAAGGTCCTAGTCTGGAACAAATTTTTCTTTGCTAGAATGAAAAAAAACCTCGACTCCCAAAGGTCAGGAGTAATTGAGCAGGAGAGGATGAAAGTAACAAGTAATAATCAGTTTAACATAATGAACCAAACTAAAAGAAGTTCATAGAATAGAAGAAACCAACATTCAGGATTCAGGCTACGACTTAATTGGTTAAAAGCGTTGATAGTTGTAACACTAAGAAGTTCGAATCCTACCGCTACACTACACAGAAAAAGGGGAAAACAAAGAAGAAAAAGCACCAACATTTTATTCTCCACATGACAAGCAACCACCAATTCATGAACAACAAAGCCCCCTTTAACGTGAGCTCCCAAAGGTTTGATAATTGAAAGAGCTCAACTTAAAAAGGGATAAGGAAGAGAGAAGCATCAAAGCATGGCCCTTGCAAGCCTCTAGAGGTGGTATAAAAGCCTTCAACATAAGAAATAGCAAGAGGAGACCTTCTGCATCATGCATAGGGAACACGAAGTCTTTGTGTATCCGGACCAGCTACCATATCCTCCCATAGAAGCTTGGAGAGTGCCATTGTCAATTCCCCCACCATTCCTGCCACAAAGCAATAATTCAGAAGAAGACTTCTTTGATGATCATGATCAGACTGATGATAGTTATGATGATATTGATGATGATGAAACTGAGTAAGACTATGACAAACTAAAAGTGGTAAAAGAATTTGTTAGGGAATTTATATTATAATCCATGTGACCATAGATGAGTGTCTATCCCTGACTAACCAATGGATGGACAATGTAGGAGATAGAGATAGTGAACTTGGGTCATAGTCCACTTGCCTTTTATCATTGTCCATCCATTGACTGGATGGAGATGACATTTATGACCATAGGCTCTCAATGGTCATTCAAATCATAGTACGGTGTCATGCTATGTCCAATTGGCCATTCGTTTCACAAATAACTTTGCAAAATGGAGAGCTCACTGCAAGTATACATCCTTATCAACAACAACAATGAAGACGATGGGGACAATGGAAAATGGTGATGATGAGAATCAAACAATGTACAAAAATGGTTGGAACAAAATAGAGAAGCCACATTACCATCTCCAACAGGTTCTTCATCCCACATTATAATAGGCAAAATGGGAAGCCCACTCCCAACATACATCATCTCCACCGCACCCTTTGCCTCCTCTACTGTTATATCAGCAACACGAACATTTGTCAAGAGGCCTTTCTCCACCAGCTTGGGTGCCAAAGCGAGAAGCCTCTTTGCAGTGCATCCACTAAGAATCTTCTCAAAAGAAGGCAAAACCAATTCCTTGGTTTTGGTTATGAAAGCAACATTCACATTAGGACCCTCAGCTATATACCCATGGCGATCGACCCAAATGGAAGCAAAGGCTCCTTTCTCCTCCGCTTCCATCACAGAGAGAACATTTGGGAGATAATTGACATTTTTTGACACAGCAAAGAGGGGAGATTTCATAGGTATGGATGATGTTATGGCTTTTACACCTTCAGTACATGGTGAGTAATCAAAATCTATTACTACTGCATAGAATGCAGGGAAGCCAGCAGGTGATAGCAAGAAATCACCAGGTCCAGAGCTAAGCCAGTATCTTAGTGAGCCCATCTTGCATTTTGATGCAGCAGTTGTTTGGATGAGGATGCTCCTCAAAGTTGAGAGGGGAAAAGGAGATGGGATCTTTGCCAGTGATGCTGACCTCATGAATCGCTCTAGATGAGCATCCAACTCATACAAGTACCTAAACAGAGAATGTAACAATGGTGAGATTCTATTGTGCAATTACAGAACATGAAATCAACAAAAGTTTCAGCATTTTCTAATGAGTACAATGGAAAATATCTTTTTAAGTCCATTGGAATATGTTTATATTGTATGTCGTGGTTTTGTCCAATGGTGTGGAGAGGGAAAAGGATCCATTAGAACAGGGTATAACCCCAATGAGGAGGTCCACACTCTCTTCATCACCGTTTATCTCATAAGTCACCCAACACACATTTTCCGTAGTCTAGTGGGCTATAATAAACTTTCCCTACTGAATATGATAACTTCCTTTCATAGCAAGTGGAAGAGCCCCACAATAATGGTATTTGTCTAGACCTGCCAAGGTAAGCTACAAATTATTAAACACAATCGATCCCAACAAAATCTGAGATGCGTGTCCAAAAAGATAAGTACCGCATAAGCAGCTTTGAAGTACGTACCCATCAATAATCATGGCAGTATCAAAGACTCCATGCCCTCGATGAACCATGTGATCATCAATGGGAATCACCATCATATCAGGGTCTAGAGTTATTCCACCAAATATGCTGGAATACATTGCCGGATAAGGTTGCTTCTTGTCTGATCCGCTTTTTTGTCGAAGCTTTTCAAGTATCTGAAAGACAATCCAACAGAGATGCAAGGCATGAGGTTAATATTTTTTCATACATAAAGCCAAATCATTGGCACAATAGAGAAACCTGATTAAGTGGTATAGTAGCATCAATAAGACCTATCAATGGGAGATCATAGGAATTGCAGACCTAGCTCTAAGAATCATATCAACTGAAAACCCATATTCATCATCATCATCATCATCACCATAGCCTTTTCACATGAATCCTATTCCGCTATTCTGCTCTATTAAAGACCATACCCTCAGTGAGGCCATACATCCTCATATCTTTTCAAACTACTTCCCACCACGTCCTTTTGGTACCCAAATTAATATTCAATAGAAACATTTTGCTATCAATTTTCAATTATAAGTACAAATTTCTTAGGAAAACGGGCACTCTTACAAATCTCTCTCTAAAATATGCAATGCACGCATGTGATACCTTGTGTACAACAGAGTAGCATCATTTGAAAGGAAACTAACCTAAACGTGAATTTCTGAAAGTGTCAAAGGTTCTTAAATGACAACCAAATGACTGCTTTATTGCATGAATGTAAAAATGATTTCTTGGGCTAAAGCTCCTCTTACAAGAACATATTCCGTAAATAGCATGAAAACTCTAGCAGAAGCATAACCCCTGTCCTGGTTAGGAGAAATCTCAATCACTTTACGATTCAAGAGGTTATAAAGCCCAAAACCCTTCTCATGACTTGGGTATCTTATGAAAACACATTTTATGGTTTTAGGAACAAGTTTGGACTTATTTTGGGATGGTATGAGAATATGGGCTGAACATCCCCAAACCTCGAGGTGCTTTATTGAGGGAGGTCGGCCCATGAAGAGTTGGTAAGGAGTTGATTGAATTGCTTTAGTGGGAGTCCGATTAAGAACATATGAGGCGGTTAGAATCGCCTCCCCCCAAAACTCGAATCCAAGATTAGCAGTACTCATCATACTTCGCACCATCTCAACTAGGGTCCTATTCCTTCTTTCGGCAACCCCATTTTGTTCGGGTGAGTAAGGCATGGCGGTTTGGTGGATAATCCCATATTGGACACAAAGATCTTGGAAGGCTTAGGAGGTGTATTCCCTACTCCTATCTGATCTAAGGTTTTGATGGTTCGACCTAGTTGGTTTCAACTTCCACTTTATATTGTTGGAATTTGGTTATAGCCTCACTTTTGTTTCTTATGAGAAAGGTGTGACCAAAATGGGAATGGTCATCAATGAATGTTATGAAGTACCTCATGTGCCCCATGGTAGGCACACTCATAGGTCCACACACATCCGAGTGGATTAGTTCTAAAAGATTAGAGACCCTTTCAACCTTTTGGTGGGACTTCTTTACTATCTTTCCTTTAAGGCTAGCCTCACATCTATTATAAGAATCGATATTCATTTTATCAAGCAATCATTCTTTCATCATAATATGCATTCTCGATGGATTAATGTGATCGAACCCTAAATGCCATAAAGTAAAATTTTTTAAATCATCACCCATGTAAGCAAACTCCTTTTTCATTTTGATTTCATAAAGCTCTTGAACCAAGTGGGCTACAAAAACAAGGTCTCCATTAATAGAGCCATCATGCACATAGACCTTTTCCTCCTTGAACAAGAGCACAAACCCTGCTTTACTCATCTTGAAAACCGAGATGAGACTCTTCCTTATCGCGGGTGCATAGAGGGTATCCTTAAGCATGAGAGTCTCACCACTAGTAAGCTCTAACACATAGTCCCTTTTTCCTAAGACCATTTCCATGTGATTTCCACCCATATAAAGATTATGGGTACCGGGTTTGACATCATAAAACCTTCTAAAGCCCTCATAGAATTTATCACATGGATGGTGCCCCCGAGTCAAGAACCCACACATCTGCCTCCTCATTAGCAATCAAAGTTTCATGGACTACACAAACTCTCTCTTTCCTTGATCCTCCACCGGTATTAGCTTGAGGCTTACCGGTATTGGGCTTAGGAGCAAAATGAGGGTTTTGTGGAGGAGGAGGATACCTACAAAACTTTTGGGTATGCCTGTATTTCTTGCATCTAAAGCATTACACCTTCGAATAATCTTGGCTTGAGGGCCAAACCGACCTCCCACCTACTATCATGGGTATGAGTGGTCGTTTAGGTCTAAAAGGCATAGGGTTAGCATGGTTTGGTAGGTAGGCATGGGTTTTAGGAGGGTAAGGGCTAAATGGATAAGGGGAGTAGGATTTTCCCATTTGCTTCCCCTTCCCTTTCCATTTGCCTTTTCCCTTTCTTTTCTTGTTCTTAGCATTATCACTCCCACTCACTCCCACTCACTCCCACATTACATGTATTCACCATAGAAGAGTTAGGAAGAGAAGAAGAGATAGGAGTAATGAGTAAGGGAGTAGAAGAAGATGAGGGTTGGTGAGATTTTACCATATGGACCAGGGAAGATGGTCCATCCATTGCCATCCTTCTTTGCTCTTCCCCTTCCATGAAAAATGCAATCTCCTTCACTGTTGTAGGTGCATCTTTGGCCATCAAATTGGCTACAAAGGTCTCCCATGAGGGAGAGATCGAAAGCACAAACATCGTCTTTTGTGTCACCTCATCATATGAGTGACCGGCTCTCTCACTCTCTTTTATACAACTCTTGAACTCTCTTAGATGATCACCCACTTTGGTGTGATCATCCTTTTTGCAACACGTGAGATTCCTCATCCTCATCCTTTGAGCTTCATTCGGTGTGTCGTATTTCTCCATAATATCTTTGACACATATGGAATTCTCATACTCCTTAACAAAGGAATCACTCATGGTTGCAAAAATAATATTCATGGTACTTTGGTTTTTGTTATGCCATGTCTCATAGACATCCTTAACAACTTGAGGAGCATTGATTGCGGGCGGATTAGGTGGTCTAGAAGTCAATAATGGCAATAGACCATCTTCATGAAATATATAATCAATTTTTCTTCTCCATTCGGAAAAGTTGGTTCCATTGAACCTCTCCTCCTTAAGCAATTCGGTGAGTATTGAACTGGCTGCCATGGGTTCCTATTTGGCACTCTATAATCCCTCTAAAGACCCTAAAAGAGGTTGTAAATGAGCCTAGCTCTGATACCAATTGAAAGTGGATACAAAGACTAGAGCAAATTTCCAAACCGAAAACAAGGCAAAATGGACACCTTCAATAAGCCACTTGCTAAAAACCAAGCTATGTGATTAAGTTACAATCCTTTTACATAACAATTACAACCATTTCTAGCCTTGTATAACCACTGTAAATAAACTCAAATACCAACCCCTTATGGGGCAATTACATATAAAGTAAGACTAGCTTATGAATTACACTTTCATAGTACAAATTACATAAACTATGTCCCAAAGCTTAAATACATCATATAACTAATCTATACAAAATTCTAAAGAATAAAATCAACTAAACAGGGAATTAGAATGCCAAATTAAATAGCGAAGCGATGTTTCGAACCCCTTGTGCTAGGGCCACACAATCGGGCCCTATAAGGACTTAATTTTGTCCCTTCGGATTGTATAAAAGTGGTTCAATCTCACAAGAGTGTCTAATCCAAATGGTAAGAAATTACACATCTTAAAATCACTTCTTAAGATCTCAACACATTGGCATTATCATCCACAACATAATGTAAAAGGTGTGAATCGAATCGAATAAAGAACAAGAGAGTTATGGCCAAACTACACACGGTGGTCCCTCAGACCACCAAAACAATCTTGTAAGGAAAGATTATGAACCGTCATAGGTAAAAACGTGATGAAAAAGTTCTGAAAATGGAGTGACACTCTGAGACTAAATTATTTGATGGGTATGAAGCAAAGTAATTAATGGATACTATGCATGATCATGGATTCTCATGCATATAGGCTATAACTCATGAAGGACCACAACATACATAAGCATGATGAAAAAGATGATCAAATGGGGATTCTAAGATCAATGAAACTTTTCTAAATTCAAAACTCCAGCAACTATAGATGCCAAGGATATGATCTTATGAGAAAAAAAAATTCAATGGAGTTTATCTTGATAAATGCATACTATGAACTTAAGCATAAGAAAGGAGGACCACCATTAAGATCACCATTAATGGAACTCTAAAAGCTCTCTCTGTTCAATTTTCTCTCACAAAACCTTAGAAGAAAGAGGGGAGCAACCATTTTCCAAAATGATTCAAGAGTTGAGATAGTTAGGGTTTGAGATCTCATGATGTCCTTTTATAACATAGGTGTAACTTTGGATTCAATCAACACCCTTGATGCACTAGTCCAAAGGCACATGACAGGCTAATGTACCTAGCCACCCATCCCCATCCAACCACTAGGATGAAGGGATGGGATTTCATACCATTATCACTCGCCTTAACCTTAAGTTATGCCACTTTGCCATTTTGTCCTTGGCCCATGTTTTTGTTCCAATTGTATCCAACATGGCCTTACAAAAATACCCTTAGTTTTTTTTTAATAATATATCAGAGTAGATAACCACAAAGGCTAAAGGGAAAGAAGTAATTGGCAAAGCTCACACATATGGAGATATTCTTCTTTATCAAAGTCAATCACTATGTAGATCTAAAATTTCAAACCAATCAATTTAAAGATAATGTCCCCTTCACACATGTGTGTGAAGATAACATATGTGTGTGAAGATATTTTTCAACTCAAATTTGAAAATGCATTTTTTCTTTAATATCAAATAAATAAATTTGAAGGGATGGGATTTCATACCATTATCACTCGCCTTAACCTTAAGTTATGCCACTTTGCCATTTTGTCCTCGGCCAATGTTTTTGTTCTAATTGTATCCAATATGGCCTTACAAAAATGCCCTTAGTTTTTTTTTAATAATATATCAGAGTAGATAACCACAAAGGCTAAAGGGAAAGAAGTAATTGGCAAAGCTCACACATATGGAGATATTCTTCTTTATCAAAGTCAATCACTATGCAGATCTAAAATTTCAAACCAATCAATTTAAAGATAATGTCCCCTTCACACATGTGTGTGAAGATAACACATGTGTGTGAAGATATTTTTCAACTCAAATTTGAAAATGTATTTTTTCTTTAATATCAAATAAATAAATTAATTAAACTTCACACATACCATGCATGACCCATGTGTGAGTTAATTAAGACGTGATAAAAAGGGGGCCTTAATTTATAACATTATATAACAAAATATAATAATATATAACAAGATACCATAATACAACCCCCTATAAAACAAGCAACCAAATGCCAATCTAGTGCCCAGCCTAGGGATCAGTGCCCAATTGGGCGGTGATCTTAGAGTGAGGTGTGGGGTGCCATGTGGCAGCCCTATGGCCACTCCGACACCACATAACACTATCAGGTCAGGAGTAAAGTGGAATTTGAGCCAAACAATATGAAAACCCTTATTTTTTTAGCAAATAAAATTCTAAAAAAATATCTAAAATTCACAATAAATATTTAAAGTATTTTTGAGCAATTATTATGTTTTTCTCATCATTATAAAATCAAACAAAAGGTATAGTGAGATCTGAGGTTAAGAACTATAGGTATCGGAGTACTCTTATGTCCCACAGTCTAAAGCAGGGACACATAATTGGCCATATCAAAACCACTGAGCCAGAACTTCCGATCATTCGGCTCTCAATGGATTACAAATGTACCCCTGTGGGACATGATCCAACTCAATTACAGGGATCCTCTCAAAGCACATGTGCACTGGCTCTGTCAAACTCAGATAATGCATTTGGAAGAGTGACTTCTCGTACGAAATGAAAATGCACATACCATGCAATAGTCTCGTGTCAGGATACAGACTTATGTCCCATAAGTCTTGACCATTCCATACAGGTCGAATACTCAATAAGTACTTGGGTTCTATTTTTCTCATTTGGATTTTCCAAACCCTAGCCGATTGCAGCTAAACATGAGGTTAACTTATAAAATCCTGACTAGGAGGTGACCCTCACACCACCTTAAGAAATTGCTTTCTCAACACGTGAACTTTCGATGCTTCATGCGTACTTTGGGTAAAAGAATCTGGGCTCCATTTCACAAGACGCCAAGATTTCAATCTCTCAATCGCTCCCACTGAATGAGAGACTACTGAAATTTAGGCCTTGATAGGCCATATTTCCAACAATAATATCATGATTGTTCTCATTAGTATGGTGGATTTCAATTCGCATGATGTGGATGTAGCCCTTGAGGGTGAACAACATAAATCTTTGTGTTCTTGTGGTGTGCATGTATTTTATGCTTTATTTCTAATAATATGATTTATATTCTCGCTGATTTTGTACTTTACATGGGTTAAGTACACAACCTTAATGGGATCCAAAAGGCGTTAAGTACACGACCCTGGTGGGATCCAAAAGGCGTTAAGTACACGACCCTGGTGGGATCCAACTTTTGGGATTCTTGTTTCTGCATCTAAAAGGGTTCTTAAGTCCTACCAACTGTCCAAGCAGATCATCCAAAAGCTTCCAATTGGCATAATGCCACTAGCTAAAAACACTATATGAGACACCTCAATTAAAGTATGGATTCTAAAATACTACCTCTAAGAAAGTCTGATACCTAGAAATGATCCACAAAACTATCACAACATAATCAAAATGATAGTTGCATAATTAAAGAAAGAAAGATGATCGAAGTAAGTGTGAATAATAATAGAACTCTTTGAGAACCCTTTGGAACTAGGCCATTTTATGGTATTGACTAAACCAAGCATCTGAAACATCTTAGAACTCATTATTTCTCCGAAAGAAAAAAATCTGAATTTAAAATGCAGGAGGCGCTTTTTCTTTTTTAGCTTTGCATTCTATTGATCTTCAAGAGGTCCAGGAGATTATAACTTCAGATGATGGCTATAAGTGCACAATTTGCATGTGAGAGACAGAGAGAGGCTCAAATGAAAATTTTACCTCAGAGGCAGAGAAAACTGGCACAGAGATATTCGCCCCATCTGTGGAAAAACCAAGGAAAGGGTGATCAACCATTGTAATGATCTCACGAGTTTTACCAAAGCAGATGATGAGAGAGAGTAAATAGGTGATTATATTCATAGAGAAAGGGAGAAACACTTGCCTGATTCAGGTGTAGATTGTTGCGTTTGGGAGTGAGATGAAGAGTTGGAGTTGGAGTTTTCCATAATGCTCTAATTCTTGGAGAGAGAGAGAGAGAGAAAGCAATAGAAAGAGGGAATCAGAGAGTGGGAGAAGATGAATAGTGATATAATTAAAAAGGAGAATAGAAGGTAAAAATGTTGAGAGGTCCAAAGCGCTGCAATTTGTCCCATCGCATGTCATGAAAGCAAAGTCGACAGAAAGGACAAAGACTCCGGCAAGCTATAAAAGCAGAGTCGACAGAGACGTCAAAGTCTCCGGCGGATATTGTTCTTGTTTATTTCCGGAAGAGAGCGAGACAGATGGGGTATGGAGATTAGATATCCAGCGATGAGAGAGAGAATAAAGTTTGGTGAAAAACTGAAAAATGTAGCAATGCCGAGAGAGAGAGAGAGTATGATTTGGGCGACATGAACCTATACCAAGCCAGGAGCAAAGAGACGAGAACCCAGCTATTGTTAATTGCTTTGAGATTATATATAGGACACGGTTTCTATGCGTAGAAATGCGGGCCCGGCAATAAATATGTTTTTTAAATATAATTTAATTCAATTTTGTAGAGAATATATAATCTTAAACAAACATAAATATAAAAGTAATATAAAAGTAATAATAATTGAAGACTAAAAATAATAATTATGTTAAAAAAACAGTACCATTATTTTTAGATGGACCATTTATTTGCATTCATCTTTAAGATGGATGCTTTATACCTCCTCGTCCGTATATTATAGAAATGCCGTCCAGTCCCCATGAAATAATTTTCCTAATATATACCCCTTACCCAATTTTTGAGTCCCCTAAAGATTATTGTAAATCCCATACCTAACCACAAGATTCTTGTTATTCTTCATTCATCAACGGTAGGGAAACTATTTCTCGTTTCACACCAACTATGTGCTGGTTCGGAACAAAAATGCGTCGAATCTGCTTTTTATCTTAAAAAATGTGCCAGCCCAACACAAAATATATTTGACAAAATGTGCCTGACATTAAAATTCTGAGAGAGAGCTACCAAATAAATAGAAAAATGCTTCAAATAATAGAGCCAGAGAGAGGATTGTTGTGCGTTGTAAGAAACAGGCAATACTTCCAATGGCTAAGCGCCACATTAACCCAAATTTTCGACTAAAAGATGTGTATGATTAGTAATCGGTTGGTAAGATGTCATGCCTTCTAACCAAACTTTTTTTTGTCTTTGTTCTTACATGAAATAATCTTAAACTTTTGTCCTCTTTCTTCTTGCCTCGTTTTTTTTTTTTTTTTGTAAAAACGAGGCAAGAACACTGCACATAACATCTATCACTATCGATCACTCAAGCCCAAGCCCAAGCCACTCAGATCAAGTCCTACCTGAGTAGTGGCCACCACCACCCACCCATTGACACCTTCATAAAAGCAAACTCCTTAATCTATATAAAAAAAATGAGTAGGAATATGTCTCATTGAATTACCGAATAAAAAAAAAAAATCACTCCGGCCACCATATTGTGCATGACATTCAATTTAAGAAAAGTGTTCTATGAGTCAGCACGTGCAAGAGCCTGTTGATTCTTCAACATCCATCTTTAAGATGTACGTTGTGTAAAATGCACAAGTCAAATCAGATGCAGACGATCCCAAAAAATCCCCAAAAATAGCACATTTTTAAGTTGAAATATTTTTTTTTTTCATATTTACGATCGACTTGACTTAGATGATGAATCCCAAAAATTTTGCATAAAAAAACCATCTTCAAGGTGAATTTTACAAGGAAGCCGCATGTGTACATATGAGTCGGCTGACTCATATAAACATCCTTCATTTTAAGTTAGCAAACATGACGATATCAAACACCACTGCAGACTCTCTCTCTCTTTCAAGAAGACCCATTTTCAGACTAATACATGGCTAATAACTGCAACCTGAAAACTGAGTCGAAGCAATCAATACCTATAGAGATGGCACTCTCTCCACAACTGTAGAACAATATAACTGGAAAAGCTCTTTATAACTACAATGCACAATTTCTAAAGCAATTGCAAGGGGGAATGTTTCTTTATCCTTTCCTGCTTTTGAGAGAGAGAAAAAGGGAAGGAGGTAGGGAGGAAGATTGAAGTTACCAATAACGGTTATGTTTCAGCCGGTGGCCAATTCGACAAGTTAGGATCTCAAACTTTTCTATTGCCATTCAAGCATTCAGTTTTCCTTGCAATAGAATAAACATTCAGATGGTTAAAAAAAAGTCCATATTCTTAAAATGCAAATTGATTTATAATTCATTCAATAAATAAATGAGTACCAATTAAGTAGTGTTTCAAAAACCGGCAATTCCTTATACTGATCGCCAGGTTTTAAACACTGACTGCAACAATATTAGGAAGGCTATCAAGCGAGGCTACAGTACAGGCCATTCAATACATCATATATAGAGTCATTAACAAGAGAGCTCATAAATTGAAGCATTGTTGCATATGGCCATTTCCTTTTATTCCTGCAATCTATGATCGTCAAATTCACAATGAATCACCATCTTATATCCGCATGGAGCACTAGACAATCCAGATCTGCTCCACTAACATCCACAAAATATGGACCAGTAGATGCAGCACTTTTAAAAATCCGAACCACACATGCCTGATGCTTCAAGAATAATTTCATTGTTATATCGAGATCTTGCTGCTACTAAAATGGAGAAGAGAAAGTTCCCTCCTCGCCATGTACCAACCAATGTGATGGTTATAGTTGGGCTTTTATTGATGCTTTGAGTGCCTTTGACAAAAGGACTGAATCCTCCTGAGACCATCTTCCAAAAGGTGAGGGGAAACAGCAAAAGCTATGCGTAACCATCCAGGAATCCCAAGAACTTTCCCTGCAAAAGAAAAAAAAAGGCATGTCTCATTTTATACGCACACAGACTGATCTACTACCTTCAGTTTCTATTTTCTTTGGGTTTTACTACAATACACCACTCTGATTGTGTCGCCAGAAACCCTACTTAAAAAGTTTTTCCCATTAATCGTTCTTGAGATTAATGGGAAATACACCGTACAAAACTTTTGATGGTGTACCGCACTCGAGAGCAGCATCTACTAACTGTTATGAAGAAGGATGGTGGTAGTTCCAATCCCAGGTGTGTGCATCAGTGAAACCATATTTTGAAGGATAGAAAATGAATCAGAACAGGGATTGGGATTGGATCACGAGATCGCGACAAACAGAGAGTCCCTATGGTAGGGATCCTGGTCCATATACCCTGAAATCTAGGGATCTTGATCCCAACATGTTGTGGAGCTCAATCCAAACTTAATTAGAATCAAATGATAAATTATAAATGACTGAGATCCATCTGGTTAAAAATCAAGGCTCCCAAAAGCACTTAACTAGTATAGTGGCATACTATACACTACTACACTATGCCACACCGTTATACAATACTATGCTACCATATCATACAACATATATATTTTACTAATAGAGCAAAATGGCGGACCAGGATTCATGCAGTCGACCTCAATTAATTGGGAAAAGGCCATGATGATGATGATATTCCATTTTATTATACAATACTATCATCATCATATCTGAGCCTTATGCCTATTATTTTGGAACGGCTACATGAATCATATTCTGCCATTGGATCAGGCTTCATGATAGGGATGTGGCGAAAGTTTCCAATGGTTGTTAACCTAATACGAACTCCTTAAGGTGGAGTTCTATGCTATACCATATTCTATTATATTTGAATCCAAGGTAATTATTAAAAAAAATACCTTTTAGAAAAAAATAAAATACATGCAAATTCTTTGAAATCTACATCCATAGCCATTCATGTGATGGTTTATATTTTTCTTTCAAAAATACCCTTTACTGCTCTATCAGAACCTTGATTCTCCACGGGCCTCTTGATGGCCACAATCCTAAAAGGACTATCATATACCATCATGGTTTTAATCGAACCGTGATGGTGGCCCTTGATCTTCATCATGGCACTATTTGGATTGCGATACTCACTATTGATACTCATTGTTGTCGTGGTAATCACTATTGGTATTCACTATTGATTAGTGAGTATCATGGCACTAACAATGCCATGATAAGCATCACGACACTAATAGTGTTGAGATGCCTCTCATGAGACGCTTTGACCATAATGAGGTATCACGGCACTAATAGTGCCGTGATGGAGATTGTTTGGATTAGGACTATGGAAATCAAGGGGCCCTTGGAACATTGCAATTCTAATAGAATCGAGAAGGCTACAATAAAAAAACAAATATAAACCATCACATGAATGGATAATGGACATAGATTTCAAAGAATTAGGGCATGTTTCAATTTTTTTTAAAAAAGGGATATTTTTTATAATTACCCATAAATCTACTTATATAAACCATACTAGATAGTATATACTACTATACTATACCACTCTACTAGACAATACTATGATGCTATATATACTACTATAATTTTGTTCATATTATTACTACAATTGCATATATAGAATATGGGAAAATATATAATGAGACCATTTACTTTTGGTACAAGGTGGTCACCATTAATCTTGACCATTGGATGTGAAATTGGATGGCTGCATTTATTTCATTGACCAAACTCAAAGTTCAAAAGAAATTTTCTCGAACTTTGTGACACATCCAAGCTATCAATTTTCACATCGAATGGTTGAAAGTAATTGTGACCCCTCTATAGCAAAGGTAAATGGTCTCATTGTACACAATCCCATAGAATATATATTTGATAAATAAATTCATATAATTTTGTTCGTATTATTACTACAATTGCATATATAGAAAAAATATATAATCATTTAATTACTTAGTTAAGTATAAGATATCCAAAATATCAAACTATGATTCTTATTATTTTGTAATTACTATAATATTCATTATAATATTAAAATTATATAACTATATTGTTAATTGTTTGTATTATTACTACAATTGCATATATACAAAAAATATATAATTATTTAATTACTTCGTTAAGATAAGATATCCAAAATATTTAACTATGATTCTTATTATTTTGTAATTACTATAATATTCATTATAATATTTAAATATATAACTATATTGCTAAAAATATTATATCTATGATAACTCTTAACATTATACAAATTTCAAATTAAAGACTTCTAATAATAAATAATTTAATTATAACCATATTAAGTATTAATGATAAATAATACTATAGATTAATACACAATGGTTACAAATAATATTATTTAGTAATAAATTTATAAAATTTTAGTTAATTATTCTAATAAACAATTTATTTTCTTACTATAATTAATTCACTATAATCACACACAATTAAAATAGATGTTATATTTATTATAATAATTGACTATTTTTTATAAATACATAAGTTTGGTAATATGTGTAACAATAATTAGATAAATGAGAGTGTTAGAGATAGGTAATGTATACGAGAGACAATGATTGAAGATAAAGATGTAGTTATTGTGTAGGAGAGATATTGGTTCAAGATCATATAAAGAGGATAGAAAAAGGACTTATGGAGAACCTGTATTGTCGAGAAAAAACGACATCTGATGTTCTTTTCTCAATGACCCTACTTCGATCATTTAATGACATTGAATATTGAAATTGAAATTGCCATCCCGATGGCCAATGTTCTCACATAAGGTGCTTCAGTAAATTTAGGTGCAGCCAAAAACCTCTGCTTCCAGAATTGGAATTGCCAACTAAACCAGAAATTCGAGTGTTGCAAGAGATAAAATAATGACGCCCCTAAGCCCATCCAAAATAAGGAGGTCAAAAAGCTTAAGAAACTGTTAGCGCACCTGGCATCAGGATTACTGATTCTTCCCTGGCCAACTTAATGCAGAAATCAACATCATCTGATATGCCTTGGAGTTGAGATACATCCAGCTTCACCTGCACCATGCATAAAATCATAAACTGTACCTCCCAACCCATTGAACTTCAGAAATAAATTAAAAAAAAAAAAAGTCATAGGAAAAGGAAGGGCGGGGGAAGTTGGGAAGGGAGGATAGAAAGAGATTCTGTTTTCCTAATTCCTCACCATTACAAACATGGATGCCTCTGGTTTGGTAGGGCAATAAATGCAGGGGATCTTCGTCACAGCATCATAGCATATCTCAGCCATTTGCCTCAACATATCAACTATATTGCTGAAGAACTCCTTGTTCGTTTTCTCTATAATGTGAGGAAGTGCTCCCTGGCATAGCATTTTAGTTCAAAGCTTAATGTGATTGTGATCCAAGAAAAATTTTTATTTAAAAGGTTGAACAGGGTAAGAATTTTAAGGCTAGAGCCTTCCACAATAATAGCTTTAGTCATGTATATGATTTTAAAAATGCCACGTATGATAGAACATCTTTGTTTAAAGTTTAAACAACAATTAAATGCCCAAACTTGATGTTTCCTCCCCTTCAGTTTTTCTAAAATTTTGAGGAGATTCTACCTTCTTTTTTTTTTGGAATTTGTTAGGAGATTCTACCTTTTTTCAAAAACATTATTGAACCAAATCACCTACAGACGGCTATTATCCTTCCATACCATGTTTTGCTCCATCACTGAAACACCTCTATTCCATTATTACTCCATTTCCAATGTAACTCTACAAAATAACATTACATCACCTACAAAAGGTATTCAATTAGCTAATGTATGGGAAAGAGAACATTCAATCAAGAAGATAAAGGATACATCGAGGTCAACAAAAAGCTCTACACATACCTGAGTGATGGTTGCAGGATCACAAGAGACTTCCAGATAGCTCTTAATGCATTGGACAATCTAGAAAGCAAGAAAGAAGCAGAATAAGCAAAAGCATCGTGATGGTCAAGGAGCATTTGTATCATCGTCATCCAAGCCTTATCCCATGAAGGAGCATTTGTATAAATAAATGAAATATAAACATGTCATAGAATAGTGAACAAAATGAAGACTTCACTATCCAAATTATGCAAGCCATTCGGCTACTCCAATCTTATACATGGGAAGCAATGATAAAGAAACTGTAGAAGCAGAGGTAGCAAAAGGCACAGAGGATAGGTACCAAAAGGCACAGAAGATAGTTCATATCATAATTTTACTTTTTCCAGTGTAAGGTAATTCAAAATCACCAATTTACAACTACTGTTTCCCAAGATGGGACTCAAATCAGACTGTTCCAAAAGACTTGGAAAAGTCAACTTGTCATCTATAGTTCAGTATTAAGTTGGGTAGTTGTAGTTTTGCATTCTAAAGTGCTATTCTACAAAGGAGAACGGAGGAAAAAACTTGTTCCTTGGAAAGGAAAACTTGAATAAACCAAAGAAATTCAAAGTTAATAAAAAGCTTTGAATTCATGCATGCACATTTTCAACTTAAGCAAATCAAATTTAATCCATTCTGGTTTACAAGACTCAAATTTATGAAAAATGTTCTGAATCTCACCTGAGTCGACTCGGAGTGAGTAAAGTTACTCAGGCTCAGTATTTGGGTAAGTTATTTAGAGTTGGTGGCCAAGACCGGAACAGTGTACATGTTATGTACCTTGTACATACATGTAAAGTACTTGGGCATTACTCTACAGACTCAGCTGAGTACTACGCAACTCAGGCTGAGTTTCATAGTACTTGGGTGAATCACTGCGGTACTGCCCGAGTTTCACAGTACTCGAGGAAGTCTGTACTGTACTCACCCTAGTACTATACAAGAAAACAGTTTGGGGGCAGAAATCATCCCCCCTCCCCTTTGTTTTCCTTGGTTTCTGCCTACAATTAGCCATTTGAGCCAAAATTTAGTCTTTGGTAAAATATTAGTATGATATATCTATAACAAACAATGAGATTTGAGTAGAAACATCAGATCTGAGAGATTTTTGAGATCGAAAACGTAGGCCAAGTTTTTGGCAAATTTGGAACAGTTGTGATTTCTTGGCAACGATGATCAATATTCAATGAAGTTCATTCCTAGGCCTATTTTTGTGTTATTCATCCAAGCTCAAAATCCATATTTAGATCTGTTAATTAAGTTTGTGTGAGGCAGCCTTGACAAGGATTTGAAGCATCAATTTTGCTTTCCCATAAACACAAAGATCAGGGGATCAGCCTTGAAAATTTGGATATGTTTCAGTTTTTATTGAATCAAAATTCAAAATATTGTTTATTTTTTACTATTCAGTTATAATTGATTTATAATGTATTATATGGATACTATTATGTTTTTTATAATATTATATTATTTCAATTTTTCCGATTTTCGTTTTTTAGGATTTTCTATTTTTCTAAGCCAATAAGATTAAGTTTTTCCTATTCATGTTTTATATATATTTTCTGATTTAATGTAGCTATTTGATTTTTTTTAATTTCCCTCTTTTTTCCTGAATTTTCCACATTTCTTAGTGATTGTTTCATGTTTTTTGGGGAATTTTTCAGCTTAGGGAAGACTCAGGCAACTCAACTCTGACTTGCCTCAGCCACTTGGCTTGGCAAGGGGAGCACCTCACTTGAGCCATGTTTTATAACAATGCTATAAAATATGATATAAATATAGAAACTCATCCACTTAAATTCCAAATATCAATAATTTCAAGCTAAAAACATGGTCGAAGTCCAATTTATTCGCATGAGCTACATTAACTCAGGGAGTCGAGGAAGTCCGAGAAACCCAGGTGCTTCATCATTAGTGGGCACAACCGCACCAAGTCTCGAGTTTATGAAAAACTTAATCAAATCATACATGTGTATCTCCATATATAGAGTTAGCAGATAAGCATTATACAACCAACAAATTCAAACTAGAGCCGATTATTTTATTTTATTTCAAAATTTAGGATAGAACATTTTTCTTTCTTTTATTTTTTCCTTCAATTCAAGCTAGACAGGACATGGAAACAAACCTTATGCAATTCTTTTTAACGGAAAGTAATTGTGTTAACTTGGGTTCCAAGATTTCAATGGGAGTAGCACATATTTGGTAAATTCATGTTGTTTGCTAGGTATGATGACTATCAATTGGAAACCGACATTAAAAATAGAACCACCCATAAGTGCACGAGGAAGAACAGTGAACTCACATTAGTTTTTTTCAAGATACCATTGGGATCACATGTTGCAAGCCAGCCCATTCGCCAACCAGGCACCGCCCACCTCTTTGATATAGAACCAAGAGTAATAACAGGAGTAATAGAACCAAAAACGCCCATTGAAACAAAAGGTCGGTCACCAAATGTAAGATGAGCATAAACTTCATCTGAAATCACAAGAATTCTCAACTTCTTTGCAGTCTCAGCAACCTAAGAAAAATCACAAGGTAGACAAATTTAACAGGACTCATAAATAATAAAACAGGGACAATGAAGAGTTTCTACAATTCAAATAAGACTCTCTCCCTCCCTCCCTCCCTCCCTCCCTCCCTCTTTTTCAAGAGCTCAGAGAAGCTGTAAACATAAAACGATGTTGAAGTTTGTTTGGCGAATGGCACCCGAACTAGAAAAAGTAAATAATCTCTATAAGATCATATGATCCATATTTTGTGAAGTTTGTTTAGCTCTCAAGTTCTTTCGTATGTGTTGTTTTTCATTATTTTAGTTGTAAACCAGCTGGGACCTTTCTTATATGTTATTTATCTTTTTCTTCAGCTGAATGGTGGGAACCTACATGGTGCTGAAGTACTTCACTTACAGCGTATAGCAACCTAGGTGCTCAATCAACAATGGTATGCTACAAGGTCTGAGAGAAAATGGAGTACATTCCAGTGGATGCACACCCAAAGGAGGAACAAGTTAACTTCTATCATGCTTCAAAAGCTTATCTACGTCCATTACAATTTGAACCTTTGAAAGCAGCAGGTAAGGAGCAATGCCAAGGATTACAACCCAATAAATCTAGATATTCTATTTTTAAAGAATCCAATTAAGAAGTTGTAACAATCCTAAAATTTCAAAACAAAAAAAAAAAAAAAAAAAAAAAAAAAAAAAAAAAGGGGAAAAA